ATATCTCATTCTCACCTATAGTTGTTTTGGGCCCGTGGGCCAAAAAAACAATTAGCCTAGGGCAACAGGGAGTTGTAGGGATGGTTCCATGTACATGTCAGAGCCCATCACATTCTCTTAGAATCTCTGACTTCAAAGGAACAAATTGACCTAGAGGATATAACTCCAAACAAAAAACCCATGTGATAATTGTTGCTTGGATGTGTATAGTATCTTGTACTTTTCAAAGTCCTTTCACATTAATAATCTCTTTTAATCTTCACCAGATCCCAATGAGGTAGTCAGGGAATGTGTTATCATCCCCATTTCATGGATGATGAAACTGAGGCATAGAAAGGTTCAGGTTCACATAGCTAGTAAGTGTCTGAGGTGGATTTGAACTCAGGTCTTTCTCACTCTAAGTCCAAGGCTTTATCTACTACATCATGCATACATACTCTTTGTCTTATAAAAAAAAAACACCACCACACATTAGTTTTTCTGAATGCCACTTAACAGCATGTAATATTTGATGTAGTGTGCTTCTAACTACCCCCCCAACCCCAAAATAGTAATAAATAATAATAATAAATGCACAATTAGCTGACCCCTGAAAATCTATGGAATGGGTCACCCTCTTGGCTATGAGGAAAGTATGCTCCTTGTCTATGAATGGGAAACTAGCCTTGTCCATGTTGACAAAATTGAGTGGCCTACCGCTTATTTTTGTATGGCCCATGAGCTAAGAATGGTACCATTCTTCGCGTGTGCTAAATTTGGTTCACAGGCTGTAGTTTGCAGACCCCTGCAATATAAAATCTAGACTCTTGGTGATCTCTCTGGTCACTTTCAGAGCTGTGAGTCTATGAGCATTGCTCATGAAACGATAACAGATGTTTTCATATTTTATCCTATTAGGTGTCACAGAGATACCATCATGGTTAGATGATTATGGGCTACATATTTTAAATAATTCCATTCTGATAGAATGTAAGCTCCTTGAGGTCAGGGACTATTTTATTTTTGCCTTTGTTTTCCCCAAACCAAACTCAGTGTCCAGCATAAAGTAGGCATGTAATTCTTATTGACTAATTTTTAAAGGGAATATGTAATAAATAACAATGGATTCGATATCGATTATTTGCATTGTGCTTTAGTTTGCAAAGTGCTTCAATATACATCATCCCATGTGATATTGACAGTGGTTGTCATCCTTCATTCTAGAAAGAGGATCAAAATGACATCATTATGTCAGGGTCAAAGTACAGTGTGTCTGGCTATGGCTGATCGGACCAGACCACAGGTCAGGCACAAATAGTTCATATGAACATCTAGAGTGGAGATGTCTCTAAACTTGCTCATCTCACATTTCCTTTGAGTGATGGCAGTTGTGCTTTGCTCACAGAGCACAGCGCCTTCTCTGATGAGGGCACACCATGCTGGGCGTTCCTGTGCCAGTGTCCCCCATGTCTCACAATTGATTTCAAAGTTCTTCAGAGAGACCTTGAGAATGTCCTTGCATTTATACTCCTTTGAGGCCAGATAAGGAAAATGAGACTAGGAGGGGTGAGAGAATGACTGCAGGTCACACAGCTAATAAATATCAGAGATCTAACTTCTAGTCCAGTCTTCTTGTTCACCTTTGAAAAATATGAAGCCAAAAGAAGTTGGATACTCAGTGCAAACAAGACTCAACGGTTTTGGTTTTGCTTTTATCTTTGTTTTAACTTTGGCTTGTTTGGGAAAAAAGAAATGAAACTCTTGAACCGTCAGTTGAAGATGAATAAATAGGAAAGATTGAATGCCCTCCTTCCATAAGAGCACTTGTTGAAGAAACACCGAAGGATTTTTTTAAAATCCAAATTTCTATGCAAAATTTGCTGTCAGGTCAGTAACCACTGTGGCCGTCAACATGTTGAGCCATTCTGATGACATAGAAGTGCTTGTCAGGCATTGTAACCAATCAACATTTACCGTGAGGAGGCGGTGACAGCTAGTGTTGCTAAGCAATGCTCCCCCTCCAGCCCCTCGCAGTTGGGTACCATTAGATAGATGTGCTGTTCTCACTAGTGGCCAGGCAGAACACAAAAGCTTCTGCCAGTGAAAAACCAAATTATAACCCAGACCTGGGTCCATCACACCCCCAACCCAGAAAGGAGTATGTTTCCTTTTAAATGCAAATAGAAAAAGAAGATTTTAACTAGAGCTTAAACAGTCCATCATTATACTGATTTTAATTAGGAGATTGGGTGTCAGTGGAATACAACTTTGTCACAGGATAATGGTCTCTTGCTGGTAGATAAATGCAGGGACACTTCTAGAAAATGGGCATCTGGTCAGGCAGAGACAATGTATTTTTGGACTCTGAAGTATTTATTACCCCGATCACACTTGGTTATAATGACTTTCATTTTTATTGGTCTGAAGGATTGAGAAATAAAACTAAATATTAAAAATAGACTGCTGAAGGCTGGCATAGCCTGGAGAAAGCTCCTGGCAGTAATGTTCTTGGAAAATGGTTCTCCACTTTGAGAACATTCGATGCTTTAATCTGAAGAGCTTCACTATGAAAATTTAAAGGCCAATCCACACTGTGTGGGTGCCTGTAATTCTGTGAATGCTCCCCAGTCCAAATGGCCAGAGCCATTCAAATCATGCAGAGCAACTTAAGAAGACTTCCCAAGAAATGTGTTTGCAGAATTTAGCCATTCAAAGGTAAGATCTGTCTTCTCCAAGTTAGGGAACGACTAGAGGGGATGATGACCACATCCTCTCTAATCCAACCCAATCCAATTCAAAAAGCATTTATTAATTTTCCAGTGCACTCAAGGAACTATGTGAGGTACTCAGGATACAAAGACAACTCCTCCTCTTCCCCCGTAGTTTCTGCCCTCAAGGCGTTTACAAGGGATGGGGGAGGATATACTTCTGTCTCCTCTTTCTGAGATTCATTCTCACTGGCTGTAATAGGAATTGTAACAGGAATTTGTAATAGGAAACATTTGGATGGAAAGTAAATAATTAAATGGCATATCTTCACTGTTACCACAGTGGATTTCAACCTTGAAACATATAGGTGTATGTGTGTGTATATGCATAATTAAGAATATATATGAGAATATATATATGTTCTTGTATATATATATGGTGTTCTAAAAGTCTGGGTAGTTTTAAGCTATTAAAGTGATATACATATATACATATATATGTATATATGCACACATATTCACATACACATGTATGTACTCAGGTATGCATATTTATACTCACATGTATATGGGTTTGTATATATCTATTTTTATCTACCTATCAATGGCCTCCTAATTGTTCTTCCTGCTCCCTACTTCCATGCACATACATACGTGTGTGTATAAACACATATATGTTGTAGTTGTGCAGTTGTTTCAGTCTTGTCCAACTCTTTATGACTCCAGTTGAGGTTTTCCTTGGCAAAGATACTGGAATGGTTTGCCATTTCCTTCTCCAGCTCATTTGACAGGTGAGGAAACTGAGGCAAACAGGGTGAAGTGACTTGCCCAGGGTCACACAGCTAGTAAGTGAGGTCATATTTAAACTCAGGTCTTCCTGACTCCAGGCCTGGTACTCAATCTACTATGCCACCTAGTTGCCTGTACATGTGTGTATGTGTATATATGTATATATACATATAGATATACATATATATGTATGTGCATGTGTGTGTACATATACACACATACACATATATACATGGGTGAGTAGGGGTGTATGGGGGGGTGGATCTGGACCTCTGATTTCATTGGTACAGGGAATTCCCAGTGAAGAAATCCCCTTTACCAATGCATATTGGCAACAGTTGTGAAACATGCAATTTTTGAGTTGCCCAGATCACTCAGAAGTTAATCGAATAGTTTGTCCAGGGTCACAAAGTGTGTATATAAGAGAAGGAACTTGAACCCAGGTCTTTCTGACTGGGAAGCTCTCTTTCCACTATACGACACTGACTCTTATTTGAGTACATTTGTATGTACACATGCACGCGTGCGCGCACACACACACACACATACACACACATACACTTGCACATAGATATAGGCAGCTAGGTAGAACAGTGGACGGAGTTCTAGACCTGGTATCAGGAAAACCTGAGCTCAAATCCAGCATCAGACACTTATTAGCTTTGTGACCCTGGGCAAGTTGCTTAACCTATTTACCTCAGTTTCCTCACCTGTAAAATAGGGATGATAATAGCTACATCACAAGGCTGTGAAGATAAAATTAGATATTTTTATAAAGCACTTTACAAATCTTAAAGCACTATATAAAGTGTTTATAGAGCACTATATAGTGCCTATATAAAGGATGACCCGAAAGTCTTAGTGAACTTTTAAACTGCTAAAGTTGAAAACTGTACTAAGATTTTTGTTCTAAAACTGTACTAAGATCTCTCTCTCTCTCTCCCTCTCTCTCTCTCTTTCTCTCTCCCCTCCCTTTCCCCTCTCTCCTTTCTCTCTCTTACCTTTCTCTGTCTGTCCCCCCCCAGAAATATGTGTGTATACACACATACATGCATGCCCATATATACAGCGTATGAAACTTTATATACAACATGGACACCCTTGATTGTTGTAAATCAATCATTGTACCTATAAGCCTTTGCAAAACTCCTGCTGTGTGCAAGCAATGTGTCACGGTTCACAACGTGTCACCACTTGTGACTGTACAGATCCCTTAACTTCTGATATAGACATACCTGAGAGAATCAAGACAGCACAGAGCAGGCGTTGTTAAGAACAATGCCATCTCCTACCTTGTGACACAGATTTATTCCTGTCAAATCCCTCCATGTACCTGGTGTGTGTATGTGACTATGCACATGCCCAATCTCTAGTCACATGTTTGAAAGCCTTGGGGCTGCATGTCTCAAAGTGATTTGCCACTTGATGCAGTGATGAAAGATGGATACAATTTTCCATGAAGTTTTGGGCAGCAAGTATCTGTTCCTCATGGCAGCAGATGCTGCTCTATTTTCTTTGTCTTACCTCATCCAGCCTCTTTGGACTAAAAGCAGGAGTCAGCACGCTTCTGACCTCTTCCCATCTCTTGTTCCTCAAAAACAGGATGCTGTCAGCAACAGGCTTGGTCTCCATCCCTGACATCTGGTCAAAAGGGACAAGCAAAAGAGTTTTGAGTAACGCCAAGGCAGTCTATCTTTGCTGCAAGATGAGTTTATTATAAATGTCAGGGCTAAAGCCCATCAATGATCCACAAATTAGTAGACTGCTTGGGCAGAGAGAGAGGAATGATCTAAGGGCTTGCTGTAAATGAGGCTCAAGATACATGAGTGAGGGCTAATGGGGTGATCACTGCTGGCTCAGATTCCAACCCTGTTGCAGTGTGTCCTTGATCACGGAAAATAAATCCTTTGTGGAGTGCATTACTCCTTTTAGAAAAGATTGATTGAGAGAGCCTCCTTTGAAGCTAGAGACCAGCAGGGCAAATATCTCCTTAGCTTGGCTTTTAACTCCTGTAGTTCGGACAATGGGTTGCCCTTTCCTTGGATTTACAAGCTCAGGACAAGAGTGGATTGACAAATGTGTCTGGATCCAACAAGGAGCAGACACAGATGGGGGGTATATGTTAGTGGGTGAAGTGGGTCCAGTAAGTTTCAACTATTGACAGGCTATTCAGAATTGTTCTCTTCCATTCAAACCAGATGAGTCTGTTCATTTTGGAAAGCAACATTAGCCACTGGTACTAGGGAAGAGGATTTGGGCTGATAGATTCAGATCTGCTTGTCCTCTTGCCCTGGGATGTGGGGGAAGTAGAGTTGTTGGGAACTTTTCAGTCCAATGGTCTATCTTCAGATAAGCAACAATATTAGTTTTTCCTTTTAACTGTTAAGTTCTTCTGCCTAACATAAACCCAAGGCTAAATATTTGGTATAACTATATTTTGTGGATTAGTAGGGAACAAGTTGGATGGAGTGAAATAAGCCCTCAATGAAGAGTCCTATTTTAAGTTCTGGCTTCAATTTTGTGTGACTTTGGGCAAGTCATTTCACCTTTCATTCAATTCCTTAAACTTTAAGCATCTACATTAGAACCCACAAGGCAATGTGGCTAAACTCTGGGAGTACAATGACAAAAGGAAAAACAGTTCTTGCCCTAAGGAGCTTAAATTCTAGATAAGGTGTGCATGGAGAGAGCACAGGGACTCTTTTTTTTTTTTTCAAATTTATTTAGTATTTAATGTTTTCCCCAGTTACACGTAAAAACAATTTTAACATTTGTTTTCTAAAACTTTGAGTTCCAAATTCTCTCCCTTCCTCCGTCCCCAACCCTCCTCATTGAGAAGGCAAGTAATTCCATATAGGTTATATAAAAGTAGTCATGTAAAACATCCATAAAAGTTATGTTGTGAAAGAAAACATAGACAAAAAAAAAAAAAACCTCTCAAGAAAAATAGAGTAAAAAAAAAAAGTATGCTTCAATCTGCATTCAGACACCATCAGTTCTTTTTCTGGGAATGGATAGCATTTTCATCCTAAGTCCTCCAGAGTTGTCTTGGATCGTTGCATTGAGAGAATAACAAAGTCATTCGCAGCTGATCATCTTACAATATTGCTGTTACCTTGTACACAATACATTTCACTCTGCACCATCAGCTCATGCAAGTCTTTCCAGGTGTTTTTGATAGCATCCTGCTCATCATTTATTATAGTATAGTAGTATTCTATCATAAATACATATCACAACTTGTTCAGGCATTCCTCAATTGATGGGTATCCCCTCTCTAATTCTTTACCCCCAGAAAAGAGCTGCTATAAATATTTTTGTACATATAGGTCCTTTTCCTTTTTGTTTTTCATCTGTTTTGGGATACAGGCCTACTAGTGATATTGCTAGATCAAAGGATATGCATGATTTTATAGCCCTTTGGGCATAGTTCCAAATTGCTCTACAGAATGGTTGAATCAGTTCACAACTCCACCAACAGTGCGTTAATGTCTCATTTTTCTTACATCCCCTCCAACATTTGTCATTTACCTTTTCTGTCCTATTAGCCGATCTAATAGGTATGAGACAGTACCTTAGAATTGTTTTAATTTGTATTTCTCTAATCAATAGTGAGTTATAATATTTTTTTCATATGTCTATAGATAGCTTTAATTACTTCATCTGAAAACTGATTATATCTTTTGATCATCTAACTATTGGGGAATGACTCTTACTTTTACAAATTTGACACAGTTCTCTATATGCTAGAGAAGTGAGGCCTTTATCAGAGAAACTTGCTTCAAATATTTTTTTTCAGATAGTATTGCTAACTGTATTTCCCTCCATCCTATTACCCCCTCCCCTGTTTATTCTATTCTCTCTCTCCTTTCACCCTGTCCCTCCTCAAAAGTGTTTTGCTTCTGACTACCCCTTTCCCCAATTTGTCCTCCCTTCTATCACCACCCCCCTTCTCTTATCCCCTTCCCTTTCTACTTTCCTGTAGGGTAAGATAGATTTCTATACCCCATTGCCTGTGTATCTTGTTCCCTCTTTGAGCCAGTTCTGATGAGAGTAAGGTTCTCTCACTCCCCTTCACCTCCCCCGTCTTCCCCTCCATTGTAAAAGCTTTTTCTTGCCTCTTTTATGTGAGATAACTTACCCCATTCTACTTTTCCCTTTCTTTCTCCCCACACATTCCTTTCTCACCCCTTAATTTTATTTTTTAGATATCATCCCTTCATATTCAACTCACACCTGTGCCCTCTGTCTATATATACTCCTTCTAACTACTCTAATAATGAGAAAAGTCTTAAGAATGACAAATATCATTTTCCCATGTAAGAATGTAAACAGTTTAACCTTATTAAGTCCCTTATGATTTCCCTTTCCTGTCTACTTTTTTATGCTTCTCTTGAATCTTGTATTTGAAAGTAAAATTTTCTATTCAGCTCTGGTCTTTTCATCAAGAATGCTTAAAAGTCCTCTATCATTGAACGTCCATTTTTTCCCCCTGAAGGATTATACTCAGTTTTGCTGGGTAGGTGACTCTTGGTTGTAATCCTAACTTTTTTTGCCCTCTGGAATATCATATTCTAAGCCCTCCAATCCTTTAATGTAGAAGCTGCTAAATATTGTGTTATTCTGACTGTGTTTCCACAATACTTGAATTGTTTTTTTCTGGCTGCTTGCAACATTTTCTCCTTGACCTGGGAACTCTGGAATTTGGCTATCATATTCCTGGCAGTTTTCATTTTGGGATGTCTTTCAGGAGAGGATCAGCGAATTCTTTCCATTTCTATTTTACCCTCTGGTTCTAGAACATCAGGGCAGTTTTCCCTGATAATTTCTTGAAAGATGATGTCTAGGTTCTTTTTTTTTTATTATGGCTTTCAGGTAGTCCAATAATTTTAAAATTATCTCTCCTGGAGCTATTTTCCAGGTCAGTTGTTTTTCCAAAGAGATATTTTACTTGTCTTTTATTTTTTCATTCTTTCAGCTTTGTTTTATTGCTTCTTGATTTCTCATAGAGTCATTAGCTTACATTTGCTCCATTCTAATTTTTTTTTTTTTTTGGCGAGGCGATGGGGTTAAGTGAATTGCCCAGGCTCACACAGTTAATGAGTATCATGTGTCTGAGGCCAGATTTGAACTCAGGTCCTCCTGACTCCAAGGCTGGAGCTCTATCTACTGCTCCACCTAGCTGCCCCTCCATTCTAATTTTTAAGCAATCATTTTCTTCAGTGAGCTTTTGAACCTCCTTTTCCATTTGGCCAATTCTGCTTTTTAAGGTATTCTTCCCCTTATTGGCTTTTTGGACCTCTTTTGCCATTTGGCCTAGTCTGTTTTTTAAGTTGTTATTTTCTTCAGTATTTTTTTGTGTCTCCTTTACCAAGCTGTTGCCTCATTTTTTATGATTTTCTTTCATCACTCTCATTTATCTTCCTAATTTTTCCTCTACTTCTCTTACTTGATTTTCAAAATCCTTTTTGAGCTCTTCCATGGCCTGAGACCAATTCACATTTTTCTTGGAGGCTTTGGATGTAGGAGCTTTGACTTTGTTATCTTCTTCTGGGTGTGTGTTTTGATCTTCCTTGTTACCATAATAACTTTCTATAGTCAGAGTTCTTTTTTTGGTTGTTTGCTCATTTTTCCAGCCTATTACTTGACTTTTAACTGTTTGTTAAAGTAGGGTTCTGCACCCAGGGTGGAGGGTGCACTATCCCAACTTCAAGGGTTTTGTGTAGCTGTTTTCAAAGATACTTTTAGGGACCTGTAAGTTTTCCAAGGTGGTATGATCTAAGGAGAGGTGTTCTCTATTTTCCTGGCCTGTGCTCTGATCTGTGAGTGACCACAAACACTCTTTTCTGCCCTGAAACTTGAGGGCTCCCTGTCCACTGCTGCCTCAAGCTCTGCTATGCAAATGCTCCTCCTCAAACTGGGACTGCCACCTAGAACTGGGACCCAGATCCAAGTGTGGGCAAAGCAACAAAGTCCTGCCTCAGTGATAACAAAGAGATCCCTATAATCTCCTTCTGACCAGTTGTTTGACCCCTTTACCATCAGTGGGTTGGGAGTCCTGGAAGCGTCCGCTGTTACTGCTGATTCAGTCACTGCCATGGCCTACTCCTGGCCTGCTGGGGCCGGGCAGTGCTGACCTAGCCTGTGCTGGACTGTGCTCCACTCCACTCCTGGAGCAACAGACCCTTCCTGCTGACCTTCTAAATTGCCCTGGTGTCTGTGGACTGAGAGGTTCAGAAAACACCACAGCTGCTACCAATTCAGTTGCCCCTAGGCCTGCTCCAGCTCTCTGGGGCTCAGTCTGCACCGGCCCACACTCTTCTCTAAGCCTGGTGCAACAGACCTTTCCTGCCAATCTTGTAAATTGTCTTGGGCTGGAAATCTGTTTCATTCCGTCTTTTTTATGGGTTCTGCTGCTCTAGACTTGGTTTAGAGTAATTTTTGAAGGTATTTGGAGGGTTTTTGAGGAGAGCTCAGGCAAGTCCCTGCCTTTACTCTACCATCTTGGCTCGGCCCCCAGGGTCAGTGACTTTTAATCTTTTTGGTGTGTGTCATGGACCCCTTTGTCTGACTGATAACGCCTGTTCTCAGAATCATGTTTTAAATAATCGAAGAAGTTAAATTTAGTTAATAAGTTAAAT